CACTGCACACCACCTGCCAACATTACTTTCTGTCCACCTGCTTCCCTTCACTAATAAAAATGCAAAGAAAGAATGGCATTACAATAGGGACAGTACAGAAAAGCTAATTATTTTGGCCCACTTGATAAAATTTAGGACAAAAACTTGCTTAGCACAATGCCAGCTTATCAATCAACACCAGATTTCTGCTATGTCAGGAATGAGGCATTATTTTCACAAACTTTGAGGTCAACGCCAGGCAGAAATTAAAATAAATGCACTGGAGGACAGAGTTTAAATCAGAAAATATACAACTACCAATTCTTTACAAGGGATTTTAATTCTATCTCTCAGGAATCCTTTGCTTTGCTTTTCAGTCACATCACCTCCCCCACTCAATCCACCTTCTTAAGTTATAATAAGAACTTTCAGATTTAAAGGTTCAAGTTGGAAAATAAGCCCAAAGACAATTCTGAAAGCCTATTTTATAAATGAGAAATGAAGATATATAGATCTAGAACACAAAGGGAACATCCTAAAATGCCAGTACCTTTTCATGTGGTCTATTTGCATATCTAAAACCTACCAAGGAGATTTAAAAGCCTATAAAGCTCTTCTGCTACTGGAAATCACTTTTAGTTTTGGTAGTCTTTCTAAGGTTCTGAACATTCCATAGTATTTTACACCAAAATTCTGTGAAAATGCATCTTTCTCCTACTTTTCTTACAACAAATTAGTTTCTGATTGATCTGAAAACTCTTTTTAACAAGTAAGCTGGATCATGTCATTCCCTGCTTAATGCCTTCCACTAACTTCCCACTACCACTGCCTGCACACAAGACTCCAAATTCCCATTACGCCATTCCTGCCACTCTAGCCACCTACATGTAACTTTGGTGGATTAAAAAAAAAAATACTAATCTCTTCCTAAAAGAAAACAGTTTGGAAAGATTGGGTACTGTGTATTCAATTTCCACCAGCAACAGATAGGCATAAATTTAAACTCTGTGAATACCAATAAGAATACAGATA